ATCCGAAATAACAAATGTTTTATATGCACGAATATACTAAAACGATATTAGGGCATATACAAATTATTTCTCAGAACATGCGGCGGCCACAGGTGCGTTTTGAGCATCCCGACCACCATCTTGGAGGCGGGCTACATAACCTCACGTTATGGGTGACGTTATTTGCAGAACGAGCGGTGGCCAGATCGGCCGCCAGCGTGTTCGGCTCATGCGCACCGCCATTTTGGAGTATATCTTGGTATATACCAAGATGGCGGAGCCCACATATTCGGGTGCCACCACCTTGGTGTATACCAATATATATACTGCAGAATGGTGCCAATTTGAAGGCCACATGAATATTGCAGAGTCAATAGCTACAGACCTCCAGACAGTTTGCGACTTCTGCGCACTGTGCGCTTCAGCATGTGCTGACCCCGCTCTGTCATTTTACGTGGCCTACCACTTCGTGGCTGAGTTGTTGTTCCCAGTTGTTTCCACTTTGTTATAATACCACTAACAGTTGACCGTGGAATATTTAGTAGCAAGGAAATGTCACGGATGGACTTATTGCACAGGTGACAACCTATTACGGTACCACGCTTGAATTCACTGAGCTCCTGAGAGCGACCCATTCTTTCACAAATGTTTGTAGAAGCAGTCTGCATGCCTAGGTGCTTGATTTTATACACCTGGAGGTGATTGGAACACCTGAATCCAATGATTTGGAGGGGTATCCCAATACCTTTGGCAATATAGTGTGTGTGTATATATAGATAACATATAATATAAAGACCTATAAAAGCAGGTTGAGCCTCCAAATGCAAATAATATGTACTGCATCAATAAGCCTTGAAATAAACCCTTGTATATCGGAGTCAACTGGAGGAGACTATGGTGACCCAAAAACAGCCTCTCCCAGTTGTTGGGACTCAAACAGAAAAAACAGGGACTGTATAACCCGTTTGATTCACAGTCACAGGATGGTCAAAGTTGGACTGTACAAGGGATGGTGCGTGCTTAGAACTCTTATGAATGATCTAGTAGTTTGGCATAAACAGCTACAAGGTCCAAGTGGACACAGAAGGCCCTGGTCCTGTTAGATGGCGAAATAGGCTCCTCAGATGCAGAGCCAAAAGAATAAGGGTCCCTGGCTGCAGATGCTGGTTCCAACTGGGGATACCAGGTACACACCATAAGAACCATTAGGGGAAGTATGGGCAGAGGTCACTCATAGCAGAGGGACTATCTTCTGTGATGTTTCACAGCAGGGATGTCAGCAACTAGCCCCAATGCGAGGCAGCAAACCTGGGCAAGCTGTGCTGATGATGGTTTCATACAGCCGGAGGTGACTGTAGGCAGGAAGTGGAACAAAACTGGAGACAAAAAATCCACTTGGTGCTACAGGAGCAAAAACAGCAGTGGAATGGTGCTAGCTCTAGACTGAAATGGCAGTAAAAAAGCATGGAGCATGTGTGTAGCACAACATCTAGTGGATGACATCAGAGCTCAATTCTTCCGCCCTTACCCCTACCGCAAAGATGGTAAAGGCAGGAAATCAGAAAAATGGTGCCATACAATACCAATTGTTGATAGCTCCCAGTGTTTTAGTCCAACCGACCCTACTAAGTAAGCCTTCAAAGACTGGGTCACACAAGAAGCTGTACCACGGCGCAGGACCTGGAAAGAGCTCTGTGGCCAACACAGTACCTTAAGGTATGGAAAGTACATAGTGCAGAGCCCAGTGCCCAAAGCACACATTCCAGGCTAGCCTTGCCACTCCCAGAGTGAGTCTTCAGAGACAGGGGTCATACCAGAGGCTGTGCCATGGTTCTGGACCAGGAAAGCACTTCATGCCTAACCAGGACACTCCGGTCTGGATAGTACCAAAATGCAGAGACCAAATCCCAAAGGACACATTTTATGTTAGCCCTGCATTTTTGCAGTCCGGCAGGGTCCGGGTACAGCTTCCAATGCTGATGCTTCGGATATCCCAATCTGGATAGCTGCAATCTCCTAGAACACTAGCAAAAAAAAAAACATGCCATGAAGGTTAGAGGCAGGATTTACAGGTTCTGGACTTCCAACAGGTTTTTCTGTTTGCCAGTATCCAAACCTCGTGCAGGTGGCAGTATAAACCTATTTGAAAATTAATTTGTCCCTCAATGGACGATAAACAAATAAATGTTCTGCTAGACACAGCTCCTAAGTCTTGTTATAGACTGACAACACATTGTTTTTGAGTACTGACTGTTGACAGCCTTGCCCAGTTTTCGGAAATGCTTGAAACTAACTACTGTCTCATGTTCACAACATAAAGGCTAACCATTCTGTAGTGCCACGATAAGGTCTGGGAGGGCTAATTACTTTCCTTGAGATAACACCGGAAGTGAGCAGCGGACAAAGGACGGCTCTAAATTCCTGACATGGTCAACAGGTGCACTTATCAAGCAGATATATATCAGAACACTTTCAATGGTATATTTAACAGACCAAATAAGTTAAGGTTGAGAGGGACTTAGGGTTTACATATACTTTAAGATTGTTAGTCCATTGGTAAGCTGAATATTCTCACCTACTAACGGAGCCAGGAAACAAAAAAATACAAATTTTGTTTGTTTTGAACATTCTTTAATTTTGGTCTGTAAATTACAGCTGTGGTTTGATTATATTCAATAATGGTTTGATTATTTTTAATGCAGCCAATGTTTTAAAAATATATCTAATGTAATACAGGTTTCTGCAGATTGTTTTCCTGTACTTGTCCACAATTGATAGCTGAAAGCAAAGTTCTAGCAAAAGATCACGTGTTTAACTTGACAAATCCACATACCATCACAAATCATTAAAGTTTAAAAATGTATTTATCTGATATACTCAGGAACAGGCTGTTGCAGAACGAAGATCCCAGTCAGTGTAAAACTGTCACTTAAGTGAAGTCTTACAAACAATGCAAGTTATTTTACTTCTTTCTCTTGACAGTATAAATGTAACGTTTTTGAGAAAGTGTTTCTGACCTATGATTAGTTTTTAACCAAAACCGATCTTGTACCTGTATAACCCTTTTTTATATTTTGCTGGGGACAAAAGCATTTCATTTGTCAATATTTTCTTGCAAAAATATGTTATTCTCCTTGTAACTTGTGGATAAAAGGGCTTAAAGAAAAAATAGTGTTTTTTTTTTTTTAGAACAGTGTTAAAATTTGTACAATTACTGAAGATAAAAAGTGCATATTTGCATTCAATAGTTGTCCCATGCACAACACTACAATAACATGTTTTGGTAAAAAGCATATTAAAGTTATTTACAATTGAAAAAAAAAAAAGAATGGTTAAAAAAAGAAAAGAAAATCCAGCAGAAAAATAATAAGCAAGGGGAAAAAGAGCCTAATTAGCACACATTAGGGAAAACATGGATTCGCTGGCAATGGTGGCTTGGGAGCTGCAGTGGGGGACAAGAATTAGGGTGAAGGAACGATAAAGTTTTTAGGGCACATATCCTACACCCAAAGTTCAAAGGTTGATCATTTCCAAAGTAGATGTTAAATATAGGACATATGTGGGAAGGGTTTACTTAGTGACATTAAACCCTCATATTTTTTAACATAAACCAATACTGTAATCCATGGTTGTTTCCCTTCTCTTTGTTGCTCTTCCTTTTAAATCCTCATGTCTTCTCATGCTCTGCAGAACTTCCCTTTGCAGCTCAGGGCCTCTTCCTGTAGTGCTGGCTCAGGTTACAAGCCTATAGAAACTAATACACAGACACCATATATCCATTCCTGAGACAAGGCAGTCTGCTGCAAAACAGAAGTTCTGCAGAGCATGAGAACAGACACAGATTTAAAAAGGAAGAGCAGCAAAGAGAAGGGAAACAACCATTGATTACAGTAAGGCACACATTATACTATTGTTTTATGTTAAAAAATCTGAGGGTTTAATGTCACTTTAATGCTCTCTGCAGGTTTGGGTTTTTAAATATATTTGCCAAAAGTATGCAATCAGACTTTCGATGATGTCAAGCTTCAGCTATCCTCTTTAAACATGTATGCAATTAATGCAGCGTTTCCAACATTAGCAGTAAGTGGTATGGTGCTTTAGCATAAACTGGCATCCTGACAGGGTGGGGAGTACCTAAGAATGCCCTCTCCCATTTAAAACTGTTGTTGAAGCTGGGCATTGAAATGTAAAAAAAGTTTATGCTCCTGAGAATGGGCTACACAGGCAGCTAGGGTGAACTGACAAAGTACACTAGTTACCATTTAGAGAGATTTTATTTTACAAGACTGGTTGTGGTCACAGGTGGTTTTATGGTTAGAAAAAAAAAAATGCAAACGAAAAAATGACAGCATTTGATAAAGTGCATCACCATTTTTTTTCCCAGGGATTTTTCATGACCGAAGATTTTGCACTTGCTTACATTAATCAAGCTATCATGTGTTTTTGATTGAGGTGAACAAGTGCAAATTTCCCTTGCGCATGAATGGGTGTGCAAAACAAACAACAGGCTCACTATATTTACGATTATTCACTTTGCCAAGTAAACTCCTTTAGTGAAGTAATACTATTGACAGGATGTGGTTCTGCATGATCAGATATTCCTTGCTTAGACAAGTGTCCCTTGCGTATAGCAGCCTGTAGTTACTCTTTATGAAAATGCAAGCTAAAGATCCTTGTGATGCTGCATTACTGGCCAGTATGGAGCATCTGCCTGGAATAATAATAATAACAAAAAAAAGAAAAGAGCCACATACTGTATATACAGACTCTGAAGCATAGCAAGCTAATTATGTTGACCTCATGTGGCTAAACCCCATCTACTCATAAAATGTGTAGAACCAATTTTATACAAGTGCCACTTTGGAAAAGCTTGCATAATTATAATATATCTCTATCTATCACATATGAACACACACATTTGTATTTCTGTAAATAATGTTACAGTTTACTTCTGCTCTCCATTGTTAAATGAAAAACAAAATTCACAAACCAAAACTAGTTAGAATATATATTTTTTTTAATTTTTATAAATAACTTATCTGTTACAAAGACTGTTTACCCAGCTAAATCACAAAACCATAAACTCAAGATATCCAAATTAGGTTTTATTAATAAAACAATGAAAAACGGATTTGTCAATCTTCACAGAAAACTGCAGATGAAGCTGAAAAATGGTCTTTTTAACAAAAAGTATTGCTTGTAAGTGCTTTGGTTCTGCTGTTTAGCCCCATTACAGTGCTGGAAGGCCTAAATTCATCACAAGCCTTTTCAACAGTTACATTACCTAAAATGAATTCTGCAACACAATGAAGAGCCTTAAGGAGTAAGGCATATCACATTATCGCTCAATGGTACAAAACCTCAAAATAACAATTTAAGATGTTCAGCCATTTACAGTGGATGACTTTGGATGACATTTTCTATTAAAAGAGTAGGCCACTGAAAATTGCTCAATTGTTTTCTATTAACATTTAAATAAAAAGCAGCAAATATGTACAGGTTTTGAGATGCCAAGCAGTGAGTTTTTATCAAATTAGGAGTGAAAAACTGAGATGTGTGTTCTTCCTCAAGCTTCAGGGGTTTTAAAGTCTGTATTAAATAAAGCTGTTCAATAAATTACAGCTTCAAAGCCCACAATTATTCTCAAAATGTCTTCAAATAATAAATGACCATTTTGTTGGGGAAGGCTGAAATTGAATTGTGAATGTCTATTTTCTAAGTGGCAGCAGTCTTCTAAAAAGAGGAATGCCACAGATTCCAGGCAATTAGTACAAAAAAAGAAAGACACTGATCTTTGTGCGTCCAACGCAACTTTTGAACAAAGCAGGCAGAGTCTCAAATGCTCTTTTCAACAAAATAGTTAATACTGAAAATACAGTACTATTTAAAAAAAAAAAAAAATCTATTGGAGTTCTGTAGAGACTGCCTGCAACGGACTGGTCAAGAAATTTTTAAGTAGTCAAGAATTGCATTTTTGTCAATGATTTGTGATCAATTTAATCATTAAGGGTTGCCATTATTGCACAATATAGTCTGAAGATACTATAGCATAAAATATTTAGATGTGTGGTCTAAAAACATGAAAAACAAAAAATTATTTTGGCTGCCGAGAGTCAACCACTGTAAAATTCAATGTGTACAGAAAATGACTGGTATACCATTACAAAGATATTAGGTCTTCTTAAATCTTTTTTTCACAGGTCTTCACAGGACATCAGCATATACAGAAATTGTCATGGGGGAGAGAGAATAGGAAATTCTGCACAATGCTTTTCTCCCTACTACTCATGTTTAAGGCACTTTTTTTTTCTTAGAAAAGCTTTAAAAAGGACGTTAACTGTGCCAAAAGATTTAATAGAATAAAAGAAAAAGCTAACAAATACCCTATTACACTATACATACAGAAGTATAGGAAAATAATAAAGGTGGGCAAAAGAGGGGGGAAATATCACTTAAGCAAGCTTCTGAGCTATGTACAATGGGGAGGGGGAGCTGTGGGTAATTTCACTGTATCGTACAGATAATGCATGCAGTCTTTCCTTGTTAAAAATTGATTGTACTGTTGCTGGTTTCACAAGTGAAGGGAGGATCCCGAGGAACCTAATCCACTGAACTTTTGAAGTCCTTCCTCTGTTCAGGTGGTAGGCAGAGGCCTCTACATTTCCTCCATTTTTAGTGTTTTCATTTGCCCCTCGATGTTGCCTTGCTTCATGGAGACATAGAAAGCTGAGCCACTTCTGCTTTGGATCTCTATTGCATCTCCAAACCACTCCAGTAACATTAAGTAGTAAGGACTCAGAATGCTGGGCACAGTGAGTATTCTTCTGAAAGGGTCAATAGTAATACTGTACATGGTACAGGTGGCAGCTGGCAACCAAGTTCAATAGTCCTACACTGATCAGAGGATTTAAGAGGAAAAAAAAATCCAGCGGCGCACAAAACACTGAGGTATTATAATTCAAAAATTATGCTTTTCTTCTTGAATTTCCAATGAAAATAGACCTACTGGCTCAGTAATGCCTTGGCATATCGCACTGTTCACAACGGTTTAAGGCAGGATGGTTTAGAAAAGTACATGCAGTGCAATTCCAATGAGCTCCCTCATCTTCTTCTGTGTCTGGAACATTCTTTGGTGTTTTGACAGTGGACCTTTGATCTACAAGGGGATAAAATATTGAGAGTTAATAGCAATTTACTGTTATGTCAACTGTGTGAACAACATACTAAACCAGGAAGGAGGTGGGTGGGAAAAAAGGAATAAACATACCTACATATAAAGTTTTCAAAGAAGGTTGAGAATGAACAGATATAATTTATTATGCATATTTACACTGGGCCAAGTAGGTATATGTTACAGCTGAGGGATCCGGGAGGATCCTGTAAAGCACAGTAGTAGCCAATGCTCCAAGTGATGTTAAAGGAGAACTAATGAGGTGAGTGCTTTTCACTCACCTCATAGTTCTAGCCGACCTGTGACAATGAGACTGTCACAGGTCGGCTCAGTAGATCGGGAAAACATACCGGGTTCGCTCGCCTCTCGATCCAGTCACGGCTCTCTACCGTAACAGGGGGAGGGGCTGGATTCCCCTCTCCCCGCTCCGATCTGCCAGCGCTGACTGGCAGAACGGACGGGGGAGGGTACAGCTGGCTCTGCCTCTAGATAGGCAGAGCCAGCTGTCACTCACGCAGCTGGGCGGATCCCATCATCTAAGTTGGGATCCGCTCCGGCGTCTCAGTATACCGCGAGCTGTAGCTCGCGGTATACTGAGCTTAGGGTAACGGGAGGACGCTAGTTTGTGTCGTCCCGTTACCCTAAGGAGAACTATGGGGAAAAACACTGACCCCATAGTTCTCCTTTAAATGGAATTAAAGATTGCAACTAATTAACCATGCCTCGACCATTGAGGTTTCTGCCTTGTGTATCAAACAAAATCTAAATATGTGATATGAATCATGCAAATCATAAATTCAAACATTTTATAACTTATGAATACTTTGTAATATTATTCTACAATAAAATCTTGTTACAAAAAAAAAATAGCCATTTAATAGTAAAAGCTTTCCACTGTACTTATTAAAAGTGAAGTTGTGCTTGAACATTTCCACTGCAGTAAAAACCACAAGCGGGAGAGAATAACTAAACTGCTAGAGCCATGCCAAAACAGCAGAGGACAAATAATGCCTGAATAGAGAAATATTTTCAGTAGCCATGCTCCTAGACATATTCTAACACATACCAAACTATTGTAATAAATAAAATATAGATAAAAATGCTAGTGTTTTGGTATATAGCGAATGGTAACATATTTCATATTTAGTTGCAATCAAGATTCTCCCAAATCCTACACTGCAAATACAGTATCAAAACTAGACTTTTCATAAGTCATTCACAAGAAGAATTATAAAGAGTCTTGAAAAAATGCTACAAGACCTCGAGTGCCCTAGGAATAGGGAATACTTTAGATCAGCGATGGCCAACCTATGGCACGCATGCCACAGAGGGCAGCCAAAGGCCCCCCTGATGGCACGTGAACTTAGGTGCCGGTTCTCACACACTCCAGGTTCTCACCTCGCCTGTGTGTGTCCGAGGTTCTGCTACAAGGCAGGGACCCAGACAGGTGGTCTGGTTCCTGTCGACGGGAGAACCCTGGGAGCTTTGGACAAGTACCCCTAGATACGTACCATCTGGGATGGAGAGATCTACTGCTTCAAGTCCCCCAACATGCTTAAAAGAGCTCTGCAAGACCGGTACCCGTCCCCCACTGCCAAGTGGTACCTGGCCAAGATCACCATCCTGTCCTTCACCCTGGTCAGCAACCGGTTAAAGATCCAGAGGCAGCAGGACTGCAACCTGTCCGAGGCACAGTCCTAGAGGTAAGCCGGACAGCAGCCACCCCCTGCTACTGTACTCCGACCTGCCATTGTGACCGCTGTTGCTGCAACATGGCTGCAGAGAAAACTTTTTCTGCACTTTTTTTGTTCCTGGCAGAGACAACTATGTACTGACAGAGAATGGAAGGCAGCTTGAAGCATGGCAGGGAGCAGGCTCGCTGTGTTTTGAAACCTGATTCTCGGCTCCATGAGCTCGGGTTTCATTCAGATAAGGAGATGGACTTGTGCGCCGGGGCGCTCTGATTCTTGTTGGGAGGGTTGTTGGATTTAATCAGTTAGCTCGAGGTGTATTAGCCATCAGAAATTTTGAGGCCCCTTACACGCCCCCCCTGCACCACCCCCGCACGGGAGTCGGCTTACCGGCCAATCAGGAAGCCGGGCAGCATGTAATGACACGCTGCCATGGTTCCTGAATGGTCGGGAAGCTGGCCAATCAGGAAGCCGGGTAATGACGAAGCGCCCGGCTTTCTGATTGGCTGGGAAGCTGGCTTCATGCTCCCTCGTCACCTTCCACGGCGCCCGGCTTCCATGATTGGCCAGTAAGCCAATAAGTAGTGATGAGAAGCATGGAGACGGTTTCTTTGCTAATCGGGGTGGCGAGTCATTACATGCGAGTCATTATCGGTACTCGTATCATTTTTTGTTTTGTTGCTGCAACGAAAATTCGTCCACAAATGAAAATGTGTACAGACTACCGCTAACAAATTTTACCCGAAATTTCGTTTTCGGAAATTCAGATTTGTTTTCATTCGTCATTTCTGTTATTCGGAAATTCGGATACATCCGAATAACGAAAATTCATCCAAACAACTAATTTTTCCGAAACAAATCGCACATGTCTACTGGACGCAGGGATTAGTGACGCGCTGGACACAGGGATTAGTGACGCGCTGGACGCACCTGAGACTACACACATACCTGAGAGTGATCCTGCAGAGACCACCATAGATGCTGCACAGCCCATCTGATACTCTCTATGGTGGGCTCTGCAGGGGTCTCAGGTGGGCTGGACAGGGCTGCATCTCCCTCCCTTCTTCCCAGCTCCTCTTACCTGCTCACCTGGCCTCCTCTGCCGATGGACTGGCCGGAAGTGATGTGATATCACTTCCGACAGTCAGAGATCAGATGAGAAGCTGCGCCGATGGGGCCCCAAGCTGCTCCAATGCCTGTATTGTTAATGCTGGGGCCTGGCGCAGCAACGGCCAGACCTCCTCCAGCGCTGGGAGGGCCCGGCCGCCTCCTCGCTTGTCACACCGGCGGTTGATACACCTGTAAGGGTCCCGGGCGGGCCCCGCACATGAGTATCGGTGGTACCCCCCTGATGGCGGCCCGTGATACAAGTGTGTGTGTGTGTGAGATACGAGTGTGTGTGTGTGTGAGATACAAGTGCGTGTGTGTGAGATACAAGTGCGTGTGTGTGAGATACGAGTGTGTGTGTGTGTGTGAGATACGAGTGTGTGTGTGTGTGAGATACGAGTGTGTGTGTTTTCCCATTTTGCCTAAAGCAGTGATGCTGAACATTTTTTTTTTTAAACCCCAGTGCCCAAACTAAAACACAATATCAAACTTATTTGCAGTGTTGGCACTTTGATATGAACTGATTTTGTGCTGCAGTTTGGCCACTCGGGTTCAAAAACGTTAGCCATCTCAGCTTTAGATCATGCAAACCATAACACTGGACTATCCAAATGGGTACAACACTTTCCCCAATTAAACACAACCTAACTGCTAAACATAAACAAACCATTTTGGAAAACATTACCAGCAGAATATAGGGAAATTATTTGTCATCAATTCCATAGAAGATCTATATATTGATATATCTCGATATCTATCTATATATCTATCTCCTTTTCAAATCGTGCCAACCTCTACTTTTGGGATTGTCCTGGCATAAAATTGCCACGTATGCCTGTACACATGCCTCTTATTTCCCTATACCCCTATAAATGGGAAGTTCTAGGTATGGTTGCGCTGGATTACCAAAGATTCTCTAAAAGGTGCTCAACACTTGGTGCTCACCTTGTCTGCGGTTAGCAAAAAAAAAAAGAAAAGAAAATTACATCTGCAAGTAGCATATACATCGGCCATGCAAAATTTTAGAGGGCATGTCAATTAGAAATGGTGAACCTGGAACGCAGAGGGATTTCTGAAATGACAAACAGGGTATTGGTCTGCCTAAAAGAAGCAGGGGCTGGAAGGCAAACTTTGAGGGCCCTTATCACTACCAGACAATGGAAAGTGATCTTCTTGGAGTGAACTGGAGCTAGACACAACATAAAAAAAAAAGATAAAAAGCAGAGAACCACAGGCACAAAAAAAGAAAGAAAAAAAAAAAGAAGGGGTGGTTCAAGGTGGTGTAGGGGCCAAATAAGGTGAGCAATGTTTGCAACCCCTTGAAAGTACGAATAGGTTAACTATTAGCAAGCGGACAATGAAAAAGAACCGACAGGGCAGACACCTGAACTGACCCTTAATGGTGCCAGAAAAAGTAATTCTACCACCAGCTGAAGAAAAGAAAGAACCTGGCCCACTGACAGGGTAGGCCACCAAAACCTCAAACCAGTGAAAAGAAACCTTCAATGGGCAACGATAATTCTAGCAGGAAGTACATCAATGAGCTTGCCATGGTTGGGACAACTGAATCGCAAAACCATTGACTGAAAAACAGAAATAATTGTCTTGGGAAAGGATCTGATCACACCGATAGAGGCCATAGTGTCAGTTAACAGAAAAATAAGGTTGGTGCACCGCAATCTGAGGCCAATCTGGATCACCGGAATGCCCTTACTTTCGATCTTTTGAAGCAGACAGACAAGGTAGTGGCTTCAGCGGAGCAAACTCATAAACTGAGGCATACTGCACCCACGCTGCTACCAGGGAACCCACTTAATTCACCATTAGGTACCGCATCCTGTAAATAAAATGTCCAGCTTCTTGTTAAACCGAGATGCTAGTAAATCCAACTTGGGGTCCCCCAACGGAGACATGTCTCAGAACACCTCCTGAGGAGACCATTCTGCTGGGTACAAATGTCTGCGGAGAAAACCTTTCAGAGTTCTTCACTCTGGATGTCCTATGGAGATCGCTGGAACATTAAGGTCCCTTTAGGACAAGATAGATTCTACCCTTGTCACAAAACCTCTGGTGCCCCCCTGATGACTGATGTAAACCACAGCCCTGGCCCTGTCTGCCTGAAACGGGATCAGGCAACCAGTTACAAGAGGTCCAGCGAAAGACAAACTGATCGCAACTGCAGGATGTTGATTGTAAGTTTGTATTCCTCCAGAGACCAATAGCCCCAAACAGACAGATGGTTTAAAACAGGGTTAGCCAAACTCCGGCCCTCCAGCTGCAGTGAAACTACAAATCCCATGGATGCATCTCTCTCCAGGAGTCATGTCTGTGGCTGTGAGAATCTTGCAATGCCTCATGGGATTTGCAGTTCCACCACAGCTGGAGGGCTCCAACCCAGAAGACCCAGAATGTCCATCATGAAAATATGCCAATGTGAAGGAAGAAAGCTCTCTGACAAAACGACAGAAGCCATCATGACAGAAATCTCTTGGTTCGAGGATCTAACAGTCATCTTGTTCATAGAAAGACTGGATTTGCCCCACGTCATGAGAATGATGTAAAGTTCTCGAGTGGAGCTGAGCAAATGGAACTTCAAAAGTGGATACCATTCTGGGACTTTGCATGGCGCTTCACAGGGGAGAACCAATGTCAGAATCAAAGTTTCCAAACCCGATTCTGCCATTTCATCAGGAGAAGCTTACTCTGATGGCCGTCCAGGAGAAGGGCCAAGTACTTCAAGAGATGTGACTGAATCAGAGAGGACTTGTCAATGATCAGTATCACCAAAGTTTTTCAGTATCTGCAGCATAAATGGCACATCAGAGTCCAAGGACAGGGGAGGTCTGCTCTTGCAGCGCAGATTTTACAAATATCCAAACAAAAACAAAAAAGATCCAGAAATGGACCTTTGTGAACAATCTTGAAGTTAAGACAGAGCCAAAAGGGAAAGGCCCCAAACAGATAATGGTTGTCACCCAGAACAAAGCCAACAATCACTGATGGCCTGAAAAGAAAGTGTAAAAAAACATTCTGGATATTGATGGCTGCCAAGAAGTCTACCCTTTAGGTGTCACCTTTAAAAGGAGGCTATCCATTCTGACCGCGTGCGGAATAAAGTCACTGCCAACTTAGGATGGAGAGCCACTCCAAACAATTCAAACTAGAATCTGAGGAAGACGTTTAGCTGCTGATAAATTATAAAAGGTGAATACTAACTCATCTGGTGGTGTGCCTGTTAAGGTGGATAAGTAGTACATCTTTGGTAGGCGGACACCACAAATGTTTGAGCTCCCTCTCGAAAGGGAAAAGCTTCAACGCAGTCACCAGGCTCTCAGGATCCTTCAGGGTGTTCCCAGTCCTTAGAGGAATAACTAAAACAGCGGGTGTAGTGGGAACTACAGAGTGGGAACTACAGAGTATCAGCCTCTTCAAAGTAGGACTGTTGGTGGATCAGACTGAATCAGAGACGGTGACTGGGCCCTCAGACTCAGCTTATTATATGGGGCTCAGGACAATCAGAGGCAGACTCTGCCCACTGATGGTGTGGGGGTGTGTTTAAAGGCTTGTTCCAGTAACTGCACACAAACCAGAGAATAACCACACTCCGCAAGATACAAGCGATTAATCTTGTGTTTATTGATGCAAACTGAAGTGTACATCACAGCAAGTTCCCCAGACCAAAGAGCAAACTCCTCTCACATGTTTCACCAATGTGGCTTACTCAGAGGTAAATGCGTAGAAACAGGCAGGAAGTCCAGAGTGAGCCTGAAGGGCCCTGAGGACATGGGGAAGGTCTTGGTGTCAGCCAGTAGAGCTTCAGGAGACTTCAAAGAAGACGCAACACCAGTAGGAGTCTCAGGTTCTAGACTACAGGTGTTATTTGCTTCTGAGGATACCAGATAGATGCCCCAGAACCACTAGGCTGAAGTTATCTGTGGCTGGGGAACAGTCCTTGGTGCGTCTTAGCACAGATATGTTACGCCTGCAAAGTGGTAATGCCTCCAAAGTGAGGAAAGGCCTCAAAAACACAAATCCAGGCAGCAGATGCTGATAAGGGTTTAAAGTGTCTGGAGGTGATCAAGTCATTGTAGGCGGGCAGTGGAAATCAAACGGAAGTGGGATGATGCTTTCTCTAGCATTAATGAAGCAAAAGAGTGCAGAGCTTTCCACCTAACCTGTTATATCAGTGCTCAATCATTCAGACGTATCCCTTGGTAAGCTGGCAGTGACCGGAAATTTAAAATGACGCTCAACAGTGCAGCATTGAGGTAGCTCCTGGTGCTTCTGCCTGACCAGCCTTACTCACTAAGTGGGTCTTGAGACAGTGGGTACACTTGGGGCTGTGCCACATCTCTGGACCCAAAAGGCACTCCGTGGCTAATAGTGCATTCAAGTCTGGAAAGGTCACATTCTATGCTAGCCCTGCATGTCCATTCCAACGGGTTCTAGAAACGTCCTCCAAAGTTCCGAGAAGCAGCTGATCCAGATAGCTGCTATGTATAGACCAGCTCAAGCAGCAGGAAAGCAAGGAATTTTGATTGAAGTCACTGTTGGAAAAAACACAAGCACACAAGCACTACAAAAAAATACAGAGGCATCTGATTCCCCAGGACACTAGCAAAAAATTGAGGCATGGCTATACATGGCTTGATTACAACTCTGTTTGCCAGTGTCCCAACCTCCTGTAAGCTGTAGTATAACCCAACTGTAATAGAATTCTTCGGTCTATCAATAAAGAAAATAACAATGCAAATGCTCCCTTAAGGAAAAGGAACTACCCACTCCTCCTGGAGTACTCACAACTAACAGACCTTGAACTGTACCAGAGGGAATGGAGTCTAATTGGAATGTAGTATTGCCCTGCACGACTGCAGGGAGAATACTTAGCCCAAAATGCAATTTTTCCAGTTTAAATAACAGGAGAAAATATAAAGAATTTTAAGGCTGTAACGAAAGAGAAACACAGTATATTTAGTGAACTGGGTGGGCCTACATTAGTTGGCTGGCTGGAGAGACTTCCAAAAATTCAGTATCCGGCCTGAATCTACCAGCAGTTGTTCATAGTATAAAATAATTCCAAATGAACAAAAAACAGCAAATCCGAAAACAAACAAACAAAAAAAACAACAAAACAGATCCCCTCTTCTGATGACATTAAGCAAAACTGAGCAGGTGTGAGGCGTTATAGCCTTTAGGAGGTGTGCCTACTGTCCATTTCTTCTGTAGGTGGCAGTAAAACCCTTGATTGTTTATTAGCCACAAAGTTGTCTTCCAATGGATGAGTGAAACAAATTTTTTTAAACTCCTGCTAGAGCCACCCTCCTGGTGTTTTTTTTCAGTTGCAATGGTATTTGCTGTGAACTTTGCCGGCAGCTTAAAAAAGCAAACACAAAACACAGCTGGGGAGATTTTATATTTGTATATACAAATATTTACTTTGCTTCATCTTACCAACTGATGCTGTACCTTTAGGTTTGGGTGGCACTGGACCGAGAAATCCAATGTTATCATAGAAATTATGGATAGCGCTGGGATCAAAATGAGGCCCTACAAAAAAATAAATACATTTTAAAAAAAAAGTAAAATTTGTTGTATACATTTATTTTCCACATCTTCCATTTTAAAGTGTATCTACACATAAAAACAAACATTTTTATACATTACAACTTCGATGTGGTGGCTTTGTTTTCACTTGATAATCCTGCAAACACCATGTTTCCTGTCTTTCAAATCTAGGGGTTTTTTTTTCCTCCACTGAATGTATGGGGGCAGCCCTGGTTATATGGTTGTCATACCGGTGGATTAACGGGACTAGTAGTTAACACAAGATGAGGTTCTTTATGCTTTCTTTTAAGCCAACAGGAAACGACAAAACTGCATTTCTGGCAAAATCAACAGGTATTTTTTTGCATTTTCTGCCACAATATTCTATGAACACTATAGACTAAGAACACATCAATTTTTTTTTTAGACCACTGGTATTACCTGGACGCAGTGTCTCATCATGGCTGCCCTCTCCTAATTGATGTTCTTTAGTTTATAAATGTGATGCAAAGTGGTGAGCCATCTTTAGGTTGTCAGAGTTTTCTGCATGTTAACACCTCATTCCCTGTAAGTTCCCTTTAATAGATTCTTTCTCCTCCCTGCCAACATCTCTAAACACTAAGGTGCAACATAAAGGTCTGAAGGCAGCTGCAGTGTTTCACGCTAATAGCAATCATGGATTTGAGGAAGCCACAATATTGTGTTCCTGTGCATATACCAGTAACTTTATGTCTATAGGCTAGTATATGTGTTTCCAATCTGAGCTACATAGTGGTGTTTTTGGCTGTGTTAAAGATGTGAACTATGTAATCTCTATTATGCCAGAACCCTAAAGCATCTTTACAGCTGCAATTCCCACTCTGCCTCCATTCAAATTACATTGGTACACTTATTTTCTCAATAGTGCTTGCAGATACTAGCTACAAATGTAATTTTACACAAAAATCAGCTGCAGCCAACCCTGCCACATAGATCAAGTGCTAACTGTCCTAAAAAGCAAGTCCTAAAAGTAATTTTGACAACTGAGATTTGTTGGCAACAGCAGCCTGGAAACCACTGCAGGTGACAAGGAACAGGGCATAGGAAACACACCACAGAAACAAAGTTTTTTTGGGGCGCGCATCTTTTACGCGTAAAGACAAGGAGGGATTTAATTATATACTGTTATTCTGGTAATTAAAAAAAATGGTTAAAGAAAGGTAATAATGCCTCAACTGAATTGCTGGTTTATCACAGAGACATGGACACGTCCCTCTCTTACACCTGACTGCTACTTAATATACAATGATAAAGAACTAATCAGAAGGAGGAGATCTGATGTCAACAACCCATTTCCAGCAGGCAAAAAGGTAATCAAAATTTGGAAAAAATATCTGTTGGCTGGCATTTACAACTCCCACCTCTTATAAAACCCTCAATTGATTCATGACAGATGCACTTTGAGCTACATATACTGGGGAGAAACAAACGTACATTTGTATTTGAGGTGAACAGAATGTGAAATGCAAACAGCACAAGAGGATGTTACACCTTATCCTAGTTTCTTACCTCTTGCCTGAAAAAGGTCAATTTCTTTGGTGAGACAGTCTATGTCAATCTGCAGCTGTCGGTTACAACTCCTTAACTGCTGCATTTCTTCCAGCTAAAGAGAGAGAGAGAGAGAG